TTTTTAAAAATGACAAAAGCACAAATAATTTGACAAATGAAAACAAAAAAAAATTGAAATGTGTTGAAATATGTTTAAGTTAAAGTACAAAAATTATTAGCTGAAACTGAAATGTGTCCTTGGCAATTATCTGAAATAATTTTAAGTACTAAAATTACTAAATGGAAATAAAAATTAAAACTAAAATTAAAATTAAAAATAAAAATAAATTCAACTTAAATTGTAATATTAAAAAATCTAATAAAAATGTCAAAAGCAAATAATTTAACACTGCAAATTAAACAAAAAAATATAAACATAAAAAACTAAAAATATAAAAATTAAAACTAATTCAAAATATTAATAAAAAACTATAATACTAAAATAACACTGAAACAGACGCCACGAATAAATACATGGATGACACCACAAATAAATAGCATAAACAATTAAAAAGGCTTTTTTTCTAGTTTTCTAAGGTTTATATTTAGTGTTAGTGATTTAAACAAACCGTATTAAAGTATAAGACTAAGAATTAAACTTCAACACATTTTCCTTCACTTTTCTAATTTTCCTCTGAAAAACCTGCAGTTCCTGCTCAGGAAGTCCAGGAGTATTTGTGGAAAAACATCCTGGACTTTTACTGGGAAAACTCTTCTGGAAGTTTAACGCTGCAGTTAATGAACTGAGGGGAATGAAAGCACAAACTAATTTGGCTCATAGCCCTTGGCCTCTCTATTAAAACGAGAGATTTTAGGTAGCAAAAGCCATTTACTGCCAGCAGAAGAAGGAGGCGTCAGGCTAATTCCTCATTTAGCAGCAGAATAAAGTGAGAAAGTCTGAGCTCCAGAGCAGCACTAATGGCTCCTGCCCTGCTGTCCTGGGGCCCAGCGGGGTCCTGAGGGTCACAGCGGACACACAGACAGCTGCTGCCACGACTGCTTCACACCTGCAGCTAATCACTTCATCTCTCTGAAAGTGTGTTTAAGAAGCTGTAATAGCATTGCTCACAAAATATCCCATTGCAACTATCATCTCCACCAAAACAGTGTTTGCCAAGTCATGCATCGCTATAACTAATGCTCATAGTTAGGGCTAGTCATTTGAACAAACCATTGCATGTGACCCTGGACCTGCATGAAATCATGCAAGAGGTGTTTTATTGCTTTTAACTTTTATGCATTTTGCAGATGCTTTTATAGTGACTTACATTGCATTCAAGGTTTGCATTTCATCAGTTCATGCTTTCCCTGGGAATCGAACCCATGATCTTGGTGTTACTAATGGCATGTTGTACTATTTGAGCTACAAGAAAGTGCCAGAATTTTGCCTGAAATGAGTGGAAAAAATCCCAAAGACTTACTTCAAAGTATATATATATATATTTAAAATACTATTAATTGACCGTTATTAGAGCAAGACACTTTCAGAAGCTTGTATATATATTTCATGTCAATGTCATTTAATATCAAATATACTAATACTATATAAGCATTTAATGTTGTGAAAAATATTTTGATATAAATAGAAATGAAAAATTAAAACTATATTTTATATAGATATTTTTGCATGACATTAAATATTTTATGTAAGTTTCAGAAACATTTTGCACTAATAACTGCATTATTACATATATTTACTAATGTATTTAATGTATTAAACATACGTATTTATTTTCATGCAAATGATATATTTCAATATAAGTGTCTGAAAAAACATCTTACAATAACCATTAAAATTATATATATATGATAATAATTATTATATTGTATTATATATAATAATTATAATACATATGTTTATATGTATTATAATTCTTTTTTTATATATATATATACACAATTCATATTATCAATAGTTATTAGAGCAAGATGTTTTTACTATATATATACACATTTTAGAAATATATTTTTATTTTTTATATCTTGCACTACTAACCACACACAAACACACACACACATATATAATTTAAAAAATCTATATATTAATATAGTTTTTATTAGTGCATTTATTATATAGTTTTTATAATTATAATAGTTTTCATTTTCAGAAAATTTTCTGAAACTTATAGAAAGGATTTTAATGTAACAAAATCTTCTTCCTTTGATTTTAATTGAAAATTGTCCTGTTCTAGTTGTG